AGCCTTCGACAATACATTGGATTATATGAGTCTACACTGCCAAATAATCCTGTTCAAAGCAGATAATTTTTATTTTATATGGCAGTGTAGAAGGGGCCTAAAGACCTAGTGAACCTCCCTGGATTCCATAGCCTTGAGCCGCCATGGCAGTTAAAGCGGGGGTCAAAGTGAATTAATTCTCCTGTGGAGACGCACCCTCAGCCAGGCCAAACCTCCGCCGCGTCGTTTCCGCACTCTTCTCCGTAACCGCCGTCGCCTAGCAACAGCCTACCGCTCGCGGCGCCCTGGAAGAGCCAATGAGAACCGCCGCCACTCACGCACACACACACACACTAAGCCCCGCCTCCTTCCCTTCTGGTCTCCGCCTCCTGCCTCCAAAGAACACCACGTCTACAAATGACAACTCACCCGGAAGTTGTTTCTCCTCGCGCAAGGTGGAACCCGGTCACTTCCGGCCGTCGGTTCCGCTTGGTGTGCCCTCCTTTCCCTTGAGCCACGCCGCAGGTAGGAGCTGCCTCCTGCTCAGGTGAGGCTTCCGTCGGCTTGGAGAAGGCCTCCGCTTCCTCGAGGGCGCCCCCCACGGAGTCCCGTTCCTCCCCCGCAGGCGCCTCGTCCCCTTTGCGTGCTTGGCGATGCTGCTGCGGAGCCGGCAAGGCCCGGGAGCCTCGGTGTCAATGCTACCCCTCTTCCCGCTTCTCCTCCTCCTCCTCAGCGTGGCCTGGGCCTCGGAGATCACCTTCGAGCTGCCGGACAACGCCAAGCAGTGCTTCTACGAGGAGATCGCGCAGGGCACCAAGTGCACCCTGGAGTTCCAGGTGAGGCCTTCGCCCCTTCCCCCCTTCCCCTTCCCCTGGGCCTCAGGGGCAGAAGCCCACCCTTGGGTGGATGGAGTATTCTAGGAGATGCGCCACTAAAGCGGCAGCATCATAGAATCATAGAGTTGGAAGAGACCTCATGGGCCATCCAGTCCAACCCCCTGCCAAGAAGCAGGAATATTGCATTCAACACCCCTGACAGATGGCCATCCAGCCTCTGTTTAAAAGCTTCCAAAGAAGGAGCCTCCACCACACTCCGGGGCAGAGAGTTCCACTGCTGAACGGCTCTCACAGTCAGGAAGTTCTTCCTCATGTTCAAATGGAATCTCCTTTCTTGTAGTTTGAAGCCATTGTTCCGCGTCCTAGTCTCCAGGGAAGCAGAAAACAAGCTTGCTCCCTCCTCCCTGTGGCTTCCTCTCACATATTTATACATAGCTATCATATCTCCTCTCAGCCTTCTCTTCTTCAGGCTAAACATGCCCAGCTCCTTAAGCCGCTCCTCATAGGGCTTGTTCTCCAGACCCTTGATCATTTTAGTCACCCTCCTCTGGACACATTCCAGCTTGTCAATATCTTCTTGAATTGTGGTGCCCAGAATTGGACACAATATTCCAGGTGTGGTCTAACCAAAGCGGAATAGAGGGGTAGCATTACTTCCCTAGATCTAGACACTATGCTCCTATTGATGCAGGCTAAAATCACATTAGATTTTTTTGCCGCCACATCACATTGTTGGCTCATGTTTAACTTGTTGTCCACGAGGACTCCAAGATCTTTTTCACACATACTGCTCTCAAGCCAGGTATCATCCCCCATTCTGTATCTTGCCCTTTGGCACCACTTTACATGGCTTAAGGCTGTGGCATCCATGGAATTGTAATCCCACTGGGTCTTTAGCCTTCTCAGCCAAAGAGTGCTGGTGCCAAAGTACAAATCCCACAGCATTGACCCACAGGCTGTTACAGTGCTGTCAAGTTACATTAGTTTGACTGTGTAGATCAGCCGATAGGCTGTTAAGAATTGTGGGGGTTGAAGTCCAAAGCACCAGGAGGACCAAAGTTTGCCCATGCCTGGTGTCGATGCACCCCTTGACTCAAAATGTTGAGCAATCCTTATCAGAAATGTTTGGGTATTTGGCATATTTTTGAATTTTGATATACCTTGCTATCCGCTGAGATTTGGTCCAGGACAATCCAAGAAGCCTCAGATACCAAAATCCATGAAAGCTCAAGCCCCATAATAAACAATGGTGTAGTAAAATGACAAAATGAAGCATATCCCCCCCCCCACCACCCCATTATTACTATTATTGAATCTATGGCTAGTGAGGTCACATACATAATGAGATAGCTTGGAGATGGAACAAACATCTAGAAACAAATTTGTTTTACATTTCATGTCATATACATTAAACACATATCCTGGAAGTGATTTTATACACCGCATGTTTTATCATTTCATCCATGAAACAAAATTTTTGTGTGCTGAACCATCAGAAAGCAAAGGTATCACTATCACTGTCTCAAGTCACCCATATGGACAGTTTTGGAGCATTTCTGATTTCTAGATAAGGGATACTCATCCTGTATGTTCTGATGGAAGGAAACTAGTGCTAATTGTATTCCTTTAGCCTATAGCAGATTTTTTTTTAAGGGAATTGTCACACTTTGCTGTGGTTTAACTGAGTAAATAGAAGTGGCTGCTCTGCTGTGGTCTTGTGCGCTTCAGTCTGCACAATGTGGCTGCTTACTGCTGCATTTTTGCTCTCACTTTAAATCTCTTACTTAGTATTAGTCAACCTGGTCACTTGCCATCACTTACTATGTACTGATTCCGCCAAAGTGTTCATCTTTTATTTTTCCTGTAACCATATCTCATTAGGTGTTTGTGTGTGAAACTCTGGGGTAGTCTAAAGAACTAACTTTTCCACAAATCTGCTTAAAATATTAGAAAATCCTTACCACACAAACTGAATGCTGAATCATTCAATTGTTAAATGGAAACAAAGGGAACACTGCCACCATTTAGCCAATTGTGTTAGATGCTGCCTCTACTGGGAAGACATACAATGTCATACTATTTAGCAACATCAAACTGCCATGCTACCTACTTCCTCATTTGCTTCAGTCAGGTGGTGTAATTTGTCTCATATCTTTTTCTTTCTTCCACTCCTACTTATGATGTGATGAATTAAAACAGCATTCAGGTGCAAGGATTGATAAGAGGTGGTACATTATCCCCAAAGCTCAATAGTGGCACAAGCCTTTTCTTCTCTTTTTTTGGCTCCTCATTCCACCACTACTGAATGATCTAGCCATAGAATCTCATGTAGGTGGTAGTGAATGAGCAATGGATGTAAACTACAGGAAAAGATATAACACCTAAACATTAGGAAGAACTTCCTGATAGTAAGAACTATCTGGCAATGGAATATATTACTGACTTGGAGAATGATTGAGTGTCCTTCTCTGGAGGTTTTAAAATAGAGACTGGATGGCCATCTGTCAGGAATGCTTTGATTTTGCATTCATGCATGGGAGGGGGTTAGACTTGATGTCACTGGTGGTTTCGTCCAGCTCTATGAGTCTATGAAAGCAGAGAAAGTCTGGAAGGAATATTGGATATTTGCAGTTGAAATCTGTGAAGACCAATGACTTCACTTGGATACCTATTTTCCTCTATGGGGAGCAATGTTGTCACCTTAACTGTGTGATGGGCATTTATTTTGTTTGATTACTCCTTCATTATCTGTTGGTTATTTTCTAAAGGGCATTGGTAGTCATCAGCCATCTTCCAATTTATTCAGCCCAGCTATGTGCTTTGTTACACTTGAAGAAATGGGGAATTTAGAGTTTTTAGGAGAATTAAGCTTCCCCTGCCCCCACTTTTTTACCTGTGTTTACCATCACGATGAAGGTAATTGAGGTAAGTAACAAAAGAGATCCTCTGTCAGCCTTCCTGCACCTGCTATCTTCAAGCTATGTTGAATATCACATCCCATTATCTCTGGGAAATGTGTTGTAGTACACCTTGAGGGTACTAGGTTGGGAGTACTACTACATATTAATCTTTGATAGAAAATGTACTATTTAAAGTCACACCACAATTACCTGCTTTGATTGTGTGCCATTCAAAATTATGTAATATCCAGGGAGGACTTATTGTAGTGCTGCAATTTATGTCATCAATGTACCAGTAAAATTTGATGGTCTTCTTAGGCAATGGACTTGCAAGGCTATGTTGAGCTGGCCTGATGTAAAGATAGCATTGCACCATGTGATCTCCTATATTCTAGTCGTTAACTAAAGTCTCACAGTGTGACTCACTGTGACATAATTTGTGCACAACATCAAAATTTGTAAAAGCTTTAAAAAAATCTAGGAGAAAAAGTTGAAAGGGTTGGACTTAGACCAGAACCTAAAATCTGATCATACTCCTTAGGTAGAGCAGGTGGTGGAAGATCAGGAGAGAAAGAGAATAGAGCCCTTCATTTTGTAGGTTATGAAGTTTGGCTCCATCTCAATGGTTTGCTTGTATTTGTGATGCACAGTGGTGGGATTATAAATTCAAGACCAAGATTTTAGGGATCTCTCATTTTGTCCTATCTAGGTGTGGATCTTTGTGTAAATCTAGGTTGTGGTGATGGGAACAGTTCAAACCTGTTTTCTTGGGTCGGTATACATCAATATATTTCTGATACTGCAACTATTTTAATAATGGTGTATGCCGTGTTTATTGTATCTCAGTACTTGGTTCTGCCATGATGTTTGTCTTGTTTGCTACTAATGGTGGTACAACCAACAGCTGTTCTAAATCCTAGTATTTTTGTGCTACAGGTGATCACTGGAGGACACTATGATGTTGACTGTCGATTGGAAGATCCAGATGGAGTTGTGCTTTACAAAGAGATGAAAAAACAGTATGATAGTTTTACTTTTACTGCGTCCAGAAATGGAACATACAAGTTTTGTTTCAGCAATGAGTTCTCTACCTTCACACACAAAACAGTGTACTTCGACTTCCAAGTTGGAGATGAACCACCTCTATTTCCTAGTGAAAATAGAGTTACTGCACTTACTCAGGTATGGTTGCTTCAAAAATCACTTTCATCATATAGTAAACACAAGCTTACTTAATCAGATTATAAATATATACCAGTATTATTTTTGTCCAGTTTCCTCTTTCTTGTTTCAATAAATTGAATGAAGCATATCATTTTTAAATTACTGACTTTAAAAAAAACGCATTCAAAAGGAATCCGTTATATATAATCATGTTCCAATATAAATAATAAGATCATCATCTGAAGTCCACACATAATTGCACAGTTGAGTTTAGATAAAGAATACAGTATAAGCTTACTCATACTGTTGATTAGAATGTGCATTTTATTGTATTTAGGAAGACTTGGTTGTATACTTTAAGGTCTATTGGTCACAGATATATTCATTTGTGTGCTCTGTTGATGAGGCATGTTCCAGCTATTTTTTCTTTACAAGAGAAATGTGAGCAAATGGATCACTGCAGTAAGGGGAGGAAATCCCATTAGTATAGAATGTTACCATATGCCAATACTGTACAATGTTCTCACACTGGACTGGGCCTCCCTATATTTTTCAATTAAGTATATGATGCTTTATTTTTCATTATCTGAAGGATGCTTATTGCAGAATTCTAATATTTGTAAATTCTCACATAAATTGTGCAACCGTTTTAACAATTACATTGACTTCTGTAAATAAAACTTACCATGTTGCATATTCTAGCCAAGTGTAGAATCCACTGTTTAATAAAAAAGCTGCTCACCAGCCCTCTTTTTTTCCTCTTTCTCTAGATGGAGTCAGCCTGTGTTTCAATTCATGAGGCCCTGAAGTCTGTCATTGACTACCAGACTCATTTTCGGTTGAGGGAAGCACAAGGCCGCAGCAGAGCAGAAGACTTAAACACTCGGGTGGCCTATTGGTCAATAGGAGAAGCTATCATCCTTCTTGTAGTTAGCATTGGGCAGGTATTTCTTCTCAAGAGCTTCTTCTCAGACAAAAGAACCACCACAACTCGTGTTGGATCATAACTCATGTTGAGAAAATACTTCAACCCACTATTTGTAAAAGAGAGAGAGAGAGAGAGAGAAAAGAAAAGTGTTCTTCATATGTCTAGTTACAGAACAGTTAAATGGGGAACATTTTAAGTACCTTTGCCCTTTCCTTTCCAGTTAAAATTGAAAAATACATATTTCCCAAAAGCTGTGGGGAAAGGCAGCTTTTTTATTTGTGTTGTTTGGATTTTTCCTTCTGTTCATATCTTCTGAGACACCTAACTTAAGGTTGCTATTTTTTAAAAAAACTAATGAGATTATCTGGTAGGAACATAGTGCTTTAAATAAATTCTTTAAATGGTGGTTTTGAAATTTTCCTGGGCGCAGTCTGGTTTCTCAAATTTGGGAGGTGTAGGAATAGGAAGCAAACATTAGGTCCAATGCCTTGTACTGCAATGTTTTGTTTTGCTATGAAAATTCTAGTCATTTTCTTACTGAACCATTTCAGCAGTTCTTATTTTTACAATACCAACTTTTGGATTAAACTATGGAGAAATCTATCCTCTGTATATTGGCAAAAGTCTTTTTAAATGAAATAAATGGGGAGAACACTTTGTAATTCTTGAAGCTGAGTCTTTGAGCTTGTGGTGCTGCTGCTCTGAAGAACTGAAATATCAACTGGCTGTAACATAAACCATCTAAACTTTTCAGCTCTACAGTCTTTTAGTAAGAAATTAAGTCAGTAAGACGAAGCTGAAGTACAGTGAGTTATATAGTTTGTTACTATGTTAATCTTACAGCTTCGTCATTACCAATGTCAGTAGCCCTATGGGACCTCATTGACATAAGTTGTTTTGCAGGTTGTAAAGTAAATAATTGGCTTACTAAACAATACGTCTCCAAATACAGGACACAATTGCATAGTATTTGTACATGTATTAACATTTGCTTATTTAAATCTAGTAACTTGGAAAATTCTTTCTGATGGCTATCAAACAGAAATGTGTTGCTTTCTCCTGGTCATTCACATGTTTGAACAGAAGCACCATTTGGGTATATTTGGAGCAACAGATTTCTTGCCATATAGCAGTGGAGGGGAACCTTTAACCCTTCAGATGTTTTATGACTCCATTTCCCACAATTCTTAATCCTTGCCCTTGCTAGATGATTCTGATGGGAGTTGAAGACAAAAACATCTGTAGGACTAAAAGTTCTTATTTCCCACTTCGGTTGTTTGTTTATTTTGATGACTCCTAATAGAAAATGTCTTGTATACACTTGTAGAGACGTGGGATTGCACAGGCTACTGTACTTTGAAGTAACCAAACTGAAATTAGTATCACCACCATAATCATAAAACACATCTGTTTGAAAGTAAACCTTATTAAGTATAGCTTCTAAATACATATTATTTAATTGGAGAATGTGGCCTTTCAGAGACAGTGGAGCCAATTTTTGCACTGTTTGAACATGAAAATACCACTATGTTCAAAGACTTACAATGGTAAAAATGCAGTCTTTGGTGAACTGTTTTTTCATTCAAAGCTGACACTTTGTGAGGCTGTTGTAGATAATCAGTCCTGGGAAAATCTATCCATTGCACTGTGTCTTATACTAAAGTCCTCAGCATGAATCTAGGCCAGGCCTGCATACCCTGTGGCTCTCCAGGTTTTTGGGACTCCCATCTCCCAGAAGCCTTAAGACAGCTTGTCCAGTGGTCAGGAATTCAGGGAACTGAAGTCCATAAGTCCTGAAGGACCATGGGTTGTGCTGATCTGATTTAGGCTGTGATATTTAAGTGCTGGTATGGTATTCAAGGTATAGAAATACTCCCATCACTGAGTGGCTCAGCTTTTTAATTTGTTAGAAACCCTTGGTTCAGCTAGTTATTCAAGTAGTTGAAAATGTTAACTGCTTGAATAAAAATGTCACATAGTGTATTCAGCTTTTTAGAAGATACAACATGAATGTGTTTTAGGGACAAAGAACATCACTGTTGTACTGTTTAAAATCCTGTAGAAATAACTTGGTGTACAATGTTATTGTTTCCCCCAATGGAATTTGCGTAAAATAAATGTCTTGACTGTACTTGTCCATTTCTTGCAAAACTCATGCCATTGAAGAGGATAGTTTTCAGAAAAGAACACTTATTAATTCTAGAATCCTAGACCACTGCCACTTCGATTCCCGTTACCAAAAGATATAAGCAGGAGTGCCATATAAACTCTGTTGATAGGGAGAAGCAGAGTCACAATTACGAGAAAATACAATGACGTCCCTCTGTTCAGAATAAAATTCTAAACTGCTTGTGAGTAGATCTGTCAAGCTTTTCAGATTGCCTAATCAGTCCAAATTTAGGTATCTGTGGCTATATTATTATATTTATATGGCAGGTAAATCCTAAATATCATTGGTCATCTGAAAAGCTTTGAACTGAGTCTTCTGTAAAATATGACTACAGCTGCTATCTGTCAGATTTCTCTAAGTGACTGCCATGACACTTGAGTCCTCCCAACCTCAGTTATTAATATCTGTTTTGATTTTTCTGGTGTAATATTTCTGACTTTAAACAAAAGAAGCTGTGTTGAATCCAAATCATCTTACTGTGTAATTTGCAGTGTATTTTTAATATATTCTCTTCATACATTGCAAACACTTCAGGGTACCTTTTTAGCATCCCATCTTATGTTAATAGTAGAGAACCAGTAGACACACACAATCAAACAAACACTACAATAGTTTTCTGCATTTATGTAGAGAGCCATTCCTAACAGTCAAGCAGTAGTCTTTTGTTGCACCTCTGTGTTTGAAGTACAGCTGAGTCCTGCCATGATGCTGAATTTCTGGATATGATTTGCTTGAAATCTCCATGATGTGAAGTGTTCAGTTTCTGATATAACTTGGTTCTTGATGTTAATAAGACAAAGCTGGCCTGTGAAAACTATATGAGAAAATATATTAAGACAAGGTTCTGTTGGGGTGGTTCCTTATTTGGAAACTTTCCTAACTTTTGGATGTTCTCAAAAATCAAGATGGGGAAACATTATATCTTTATTTATATTGCTAAGTTGGGATGAGGGAAACTGTAGTCCAAAACATCTGGACAGCACTATGTTGGGCACATTCTATCTTTTAGCATTAAAGACTGAAAGCTGATCAAGAGCCTGCTGTTTGTGTTTTTACTTGGAAGACTGTCCAGTTTTACTTGGTACAAGAATTCTATGCAAGAATGCAGAGTGTGCTTACTGCAAATTTCAAAGCCAAGCCTATAGTTGGATTGGCATTGAAATCACATCGGATAAGGGACAGAATCCCTGCTAGGGTACTATTTTAGCATAAAATTTACCCAGAAATGACGGCAATTTGTCAGAGGTTATATAAGTGCAGTTCCTAGTACACCCAATTGTTTCATTAGGTGCACACGCAGCCCTCTTTCCCTTCTGACATTTTGGATGGGGAGCTAATTGGCCATTGCCCAGCAAGTTTATCCCTTGGACCAGGGCTTGCTAAACTCCCACTTGGGGCCCTTTTGACCTGATAAAAGTTTATGTGACCCCAGATATATAGATACATCAAATAGGTATATAAATAAAACATATAGTGATAACACCATTTGTAAGATTTGCTAAACCAGTGGCTCAACGGACCAGCTTGTGGTCCGTTGACCACCAGTGGTCCGCAAGAACGAAAATATAGTCTGCGGCCTCACCATTACTACACCGTTGCCTCAAAACCATGCGGCAACGAGAGGGACTGGTTTCACAAAACCCTCTTATAGTGCCAAGGCAATGGGGGTGTTGGGATGGGAGAGGCTGACTACCCACAAAAGATTACTACTCCCATATCAGCTCTAGATTATTAAATATGGTTTTCTGTGGGTGAGCAGGTGGCGACTACTGGATGCCTTAAGTTCTATATCAGAAACTAGAGCTGATGTGACCTATCCAGTGCAATTTTCTGAATAAGCACCCCAAATAACCAAACTGAATCTAAAGTTGACCAAAAACTAATTTGTAACCCTTTTGCTACTAATGTTGGAGAGTGGTCCCTGGTCAAAGTGGTCCCTGGTCAAAAAAGGTTGGGAACCACTAGGCTAAACAGACTGATTTGCCTTTTTATGAAGTACAGCAGAAGCATCTGCAAAGTCCACTGTAAAACACTGCACAACGGTTTCATGTAATTGTTCAGAACAGCTACTAGGTGACAATCAGAAAGCTTTTACTGCTGCCAAATTTTTCAGAACCCCAGCATTGAGCTAGAGGGACCTCATTTGGGATCGACCCGCAGTTTAAGAAGCAGTACTTTAGACACTTGACATTTCAATTTGTTACTTGAAACAACTGTTAACTTAATTATCATTTTTATTACTGCAAATGATGATGTGCCATTTGGTGGTTGCATTTGCGAAGTGCTATGTTAAATATACAGCATGCAGTAAGGATCCTACCTTCTTTTTTTTACACTAACATAATGCACAATCACGACCCAGTTTGGGACTATGCCATGGCATTAGGGCAGGCTTAAATCTTCATTTGGGTTTTATTTCAACTCCCTGTCCTTGTGATTAATTGACCCTCAAGAAAATGTTAATGCCACTAGTGTAAGCAGGTACAATTGAAATTTTAAAATTGGCTTTAAAAATCAACACATGCAGCATTTGTTTGGCAGTGCAAACTCTGGCCAGCCACAGGCTTAAGGTGAAAGATGACAAGCCCGGGGAGGGGGGGGGGGGGAGAGAGGAGCTCTATTTTTGTGGCAGAGAAGGAAGTGAAGCAGAGAAGGATTGGGAAATGGTGTGTTTAGCAAATTGTTGAAGCAGCGGAAACTCCATATGCTGTCTACTGGAAATCATGTGACTTCATTTCCATAATGAAAATAGCTTTCAAGTAAAATACTACGCTGTCAAAACTGAGGAAAGTTGTAAGGACCAGTCTCAATAGAGAACTGTCTGAAAATATTAATTTCTTGGGTATGAGGTAAAAGACCTAAATCCCATTGTTAGTCCCGAGATTGAGCCAATGTATAAATAATGAAAAGCTTACCCTTGATTTAGTGTGTCTTCTCTTGTTGGGAATAACTATAGCATTTATGCCATTCTTCAAGGCAAATGCACAACAAAAACATGGTTCAGCAGAGAAAATTGTTGTTTTAACATATAAAACCATTCATTGAAAGTGAAGAGAGGCAAGCTTGCAAATGAATATTAAGCCTAAGAAAGTTAGGATACTGTGGTAAATTGTAAAGGGCATATAGTCAATGGATAGATATTTGCGTACACGTTGAAAGTGGCAAGAGAAGATGGGAATGTAGAACATAACAAGAAGGGGAAAGGTACCTGGTACCTTTTGCATTTTCATTTCTTTTATCTCATCCAGTATATAAATATCTGCCATCGGAGACTACACTGAATGTATTTGATGGAAAGGGGTGGAGTCAAAAGAAACAGCCAAGTTTTTCAGGTATCTCACTACTCCCAATTGTTTTTGATGCATCAAGTAATCAGCCATCTGTATCTATGGATTTATTGATCCATGGCTTGGATCCCCCAAAGCAAACCTAGATGTTATCATTTTATATGAGGGACACCATTTTACTATGCCATTGTAAATAATAATAATAATAATAATAATAATAATAATAATAATAATAATACACTGGGTGCAGTGCCTAAAGACCTTGGCCTGCACTTAAACACAATCGGCGCTGACAAAATTACCATCTGCCAGCTGCAAAAGGCCACCTTACTGGGATCTGCATGCATTATTCGCCGATACATCACAATCCTAGACATTTGGGAAGTGTCCGACATGTGATCCAATTCAACAGCCAGCAGAGAGTGTTCTGTGGACTCATCTTGTTGTGTTTCAAATCATAATAATACACAGGGTGCAGTGCCTAAAGACCTTGGACTGCACTTAAACACAATCGGCGCTGGCAAAATTACCATGTCAGCTGCAAAAGGCCATCCAACTCAGATCTACATGCATTATTCACTGATACATCACACAGTCCTAGACACTTGGGAAGTGTCCGACGTGTGATCCAATACAACAGCCAGCAGAGTGATCTTGTTTGCTGTGTACTAATCTTGTGTGTCAAATTATTATTATTATTATTATTATTATTATTATTATTATTATTATTATTTGTATACCACCCTATCTCCCTGAAGGGACTCAGGGTAGTTTCCAGCATATGAGGCAAACATTCAATTGCTGGAAAGGAAACCATACAGACAATTACATCAACATAAACTCATTCGACAATATAACATAACCTAATTTAACTTAACAAACAAAATAACAGCAACTAAAAGCATCATAAAATTAAAATAAAACACACTAAAAAAAATATTTAAAACCAATTTCATTGAAGCTCCATCTGTAGACGTTCAACAAACCAATGGCCATGATTACAAAATGAACGTGGCCAACGATAAGGGGTAGGGCAAGGGAAAGTGCAACAGTGTGGGGCTTCCATATTGACAGACTTTTATATTGGAGTGGAGGAGTGGGTCTGGAACAAAATCTCCTGAAATGCTGGGGCGCGCTATAACATAGCCTTTTTCCTGCCCGTCTCCAATGCCTGAAGTGAAATCTAACTTCAGAAGATGGAAATTCTCATACTGCCTTGTATAGGATATTCCCTTTGGTTTCGGCTTGCATTGCATGAGGCCATATGCAAAGTTTAGCAGCCAATTGGCTTGACCAGCACTTCCACATCCCATATTATTTTTAGCAGCTGAAGCACTGCAGCCCACTAACCACAGAGTGGCAGCTTTCCAGATGTTTGCAAATGATTCTCTATTTTGTAGTTCTAGTTAACAAAAAGATGTATGGGGCTCTTAGGAAGCCACCATGCATGAATCATAGGTTGCATCAAACCATCATGTATAAGTTGTTTATTCATTCAGTCACTTCTGACTCTTCGTGACCTCATAGACCAGCCGATGCCAGAGCTCCCTGTCAGTTGTGGCTACCCCCAACTTCTTCAAGGTCAAACCAGTCACTTCAAGGATAACATCCATCCATCTTGCCCTTGGTCTGCTCATCTTCCTTTTTCCTTCCATTTTCCCCAACATCATTATCTTCTTCAAGCTTTCCTGTCTTTGACCAAAGTACTTCATCTTTGCCTCTAATACCTTTCCCTCCAGTGAACAATGAGGCTTTATTTCCTGAAGTATGGGCTGGTTGGATCTTCTTGCTGTCCAAGGCACTCTCAGAATTTTCCTCCAGTACCACAGTTCAAAAGTGTCTATCTTCCTTCACTCAGCCTTATGGTCCAGCTATCGCATCCATAGGTGACTACAGGGAATACCATTGCTTTAACTATGTGGATCTTCATTGCCAGTGTGATGTCTCTACTCTTAACTATTTTATCGAGATTGGTAATTGTTCTCCTCCCAAGAAGTAAATGTCTTCTGATTTCCTGGCTGTAGTCTGTATCTGCAGTAATATTTGCACCTAGAAATACAAAGTCTGACACTGCCTCCACGTTTTCTCCCTCTATTTGCTAGTTATCAATCAGTCTTGTTGGCATAATCTTGTTTTTTTATGTTTAACTGCAACCCAGCTTTTGCACTTTTTTCTTTCACTTTAGTTAGAAGGCTCCTCGGCTCCTCCTTGCTTTCAGCCATCAAAGTGGTATCATCTGCATACGTAAGGTTGTTAATGTTTCTTCTAGCAATTTTAACTCCAACCTTGGATTCATCAAGCCCTGCACATTACATGATGTGTTCTGCATACAAGTTGAATAGGTCGGGTGAGAGTACACAGCCTTGCCGTACTCCTTTCCCAATCTTGAACCAGTTGGTCAGTTCTTACTGTTGCTACTTGTTCGTTATACAGATTCCTCAGGAGAGAGACAAGGTGACTTGGTATCCCCATAATACCAAAAAGTCACCACAATTTATTATGATCCACACAGTCAAAGTCTTTTAGAATAGTAAATAAAACGGAAATAGATGTTTTTCTGAAGCTCCCTGCCTTTCTCCATTCTCTAGTGGATATTGGCAATTTGGTCTCTCCTTCCTCCGTCTTTTCTAAACCCAGCTTGTACATCTGACAACTCTCTCTCAGTGTATTGCTGGAGGATCTTGAGCATTACCTTACTGGCATGTGAAATAAGTGCTGCTGTACAAAAGTTTGAGCATTCTTTTGCATTTCCCTTTTTTTTTGTATAGAGATATAAGTGGATTCCCCCCCCCCCCAATCTGATGGCCGTTCTTGTGTTTTCCATATTTGCTGGCATATGGCATGCATCACCCTGAGAGCACCCTCTTTCAAGATCATGGGATGGATTCAAACAAGGGCTGCTTTGAAGTCTTACGTCTTTTACAACATGGAATAAGCAAGACAGTGTGTCCTTACATTCTTCCTGTAGTTTGTGGGATGTTTTGACAAGCTCATAAAAAAGATCTCTAGAATTAGATGTTTAATGTGGTTCTATTTCTGATTTCTGAAAGGTAATTTAACACCCATTCAGCTCACTGGTGTGCAATGAAACAGGGCTGATATATGTAAAAGTGGAAAACTTGGGCCCTCCAGGTGTTTTGGACTTCAACTCCCACCATTCCTAACAGTCTCAGGCCCCTTTCTTTACCCCCTTTCATGGGGGGGGGGGTTGAAACCTGCCTCCTAGCTCACGCTGAAGCAAAGAGCACAACAGGGGGCAGAGCAGCCTTCAATACTCTGCAGCTCTGCCTTGTCAACCACCTCCACCAAGTCTGGCCTCCTTAATGAGAGCATTCAACATCCCCCACCCCAACTTGGTTGCATCACTACTGTTCTGTCACGCTGGGCCTGTAAATAATTGTCTTTAGAACAGGATGTGCAACCTTTGCCCAGCAGGAAGCCAGGGGCCTAAAGAGAAGTTCTCAGAGGTTTCCACCACAAGCAGTCTTTAGATGGCTTGTGAAGTACAACAAAGTCTTTTATTAATGAACAATCAAACAGAAACTTCTCTTGGCTTCAGTAAAGTTTAGCAAATGATTCCAAGCTTTTAGGCAATTGGTGAATTCCTAATTTTGCCCACGAAGAATAAGCAACTGTCTTCAATAACTTCTTCTTTAAAGGAAAATCCCCTTTTTAACTTCTCCCAGGCTGACTGTAATCTAACCCTTACTGATGTGGGCTCCGCTAGCGGGTCGAACTGCGTCTCGAATGTCGAGTGGACCTAATAGCAAGGCAGTAGATGTTCTCCAGCTGGAGTTCTTTGGTCTTTAGGGCTGTTTTCCTGGAAATTCTTTGGAGACTCTTAAGACCTTTCTCCCCCGGAAGGTCTTAAGGGTTGAAGCTTTTGTACAGAGGAAGCTTGCACACATCCTATACATAAGCTTACCTTGCTGAGACTAACTAAAAATGGCTCCCTTCCCTTCCCAATTGCCCTGAGCAAGGGGCGGGACCAAAACTTAACAATGATGGACAGGTGACTTGCCCTATGACTGCAACCAGTGTGAATAAATTGCCAATATTTGCTTGAGATAGTGCTTGCAGTTCTGGAGGGACTCTTAATTTTTTGCATCTCATAGACTTAGCATGGGGATTTGGTTAACCAGTTAAAATTCATGAGTAAACCAGGTTTTTTTTAAAAAAAATCTGAAACATTTCGGGGGGGGGGTTGAACCCCTAAAACCACCCCCTCGCTACAGGCCTGGCTTCTGTGGGATTTGGGGAGGTGAAGTCCAGTCCAAAACACCTGGAGGCCCCAAGTTTGCCCATGCCTGCTAGGTGCCCCCTAAGACTCTTCCCTGGGAAGATGCTGGCGCCCTTCCTCCCTCCCTCCCTCCTTTGACCCTCGCCTGCCAAGGAAGGGGCTTCTTGAGCAGAGAAGGAACTTGCCACGAGACAGGGAAAAACCCCACCTCAGCTTCTCTTTTCTAGCCCGCCAAGGGATAAATTCCCCTTTCCCACGCCAGTCGCTTCAGAAGGGCTGCCTGCCCAGACTCCGGAGGTGCCTTCCCTCTCCCTTCGGGCGAGCATCTTGGGCGGCCGGGCCACCGGCACTTCTCCAAGCCCCGTCGGGGGTCGGCAGAGGGGGCAGCCAAGCCCGAAGCCCTTCTAAGAAGCCACTCGCCCCTTCTGTCGCCATTGGGTAAGAGCGACACCCCACCCAGCCCCGTCTAAAGTGCTCTTAGGCTGTGCCTTCGCCCTGGAATGAATGCAGTTCAGTTGAGCTGCCCTGACTCCAGGCTATGCCAATCTTAGAGATATGGCTTTATACCTGTCAGAGTGGATGTGTGTCCATCTTTTAAAAGAAAGATACAGGCAAGAATCCTATTAAGGACTTATATCTTTGGTTTCATCTATGCTGCCATATAATGCAGTTCCTAAGTCAGTGCAGACTCATATAAAGCCCTTCAATACCCTTTAAGCAGCTATACACACACACACGCCAGAAGCAATTTGCAGTTTCTCATGTTGCTCCTGACTCTCTCTCTCTCTCTGTGTGTATATATGTGTGTGTGTGTATAGGTGCCCCCTAAGATTCTTCCCTGGGAAAGAGCCCCCAGTGGGGCAGTGGGTTAAAGCGCTGAGCTGCTGAGCTTGTTGACCGAAAAGTCAACACTGTCAGCGCCAGCTTCCACTGTGAGCACCAGCTTCTGCCAACCTAGCAGTCTGAAAACATGCAAATGTGAGTAGATCAATAGGTACCGCTTAAATGGTTGTGCATTTAAGTAACGTGATCAGATCTAATTTGCCAAATAGTCACTGTTGTATGTTTTATGTTGAATGTTTTTATATTGTGTAAATGCTATTTTAAATTGTAAGTCGCTCGGAGCACCTTGGTGGAGAGCGACTAATTAAGAAATAAAGTGAAGTGAAGTGAAGTAACGGTGCTCCATGCAGTCATGCTGGCCACATGAAGTGTCTATGGACAATGCCGGCTCTTTGGCTTAGAAATGGAGATGAGCACCACACCCCAGAGTCGGATACACTGCAACTCACTTGTGGTGTGAGAGAATTGGTCATCTGCAGATGTTGCCCAGGGACGCCCAAATGTTTGATGTTTTAATTTTGTGTCTATATGTTGGGTTGTTTAAATTTTGTTAGTATGGATATATTGTTGTATTCGGGAATTGTATGTATCTTTGCCTTTTATGTTTGGAATCCGTCCTGAGTCCCTCCGGGGAGATAGAGCGGAATATAAATCAAGTATTATTATCCTTGTGGGAGACTTCTCTCATGTCCCTGCATGGAGAGCTGGCACTGACAGAGGGAGCTCAACCTCCTCTCCCTGGAATCGAACTGCTGACCCAGTGTTTCTCAACCTTCCTAATGCCACGACTCTTTAATACAGTTCCTCATGTTGCAGTGATTCCCAACCATGAAATTATGTTCGTTGCTGCTTCATAACTGTAATCTTGCTACTATTCTGAATCGTCATGTAAATATCTGATATGTAGGATGTATTTTCATTCACTGGACCAAATTTGGCACAAATACCCAATACACCCAAATTTCAGTACTGTGCTGGTGGGGTTAGGGGGGGATTGATTCTGTCATTTGGGAGTTGTAGTTGCTGGGATTTATAGTTCACCTACAATCAAAGAGCATTCTGAACTCCACCAATGTTGGCATTGAACCAAACTTGGCACACAGAACTCCCATGATCAACAGAAAATACTGGAAGGGTTTGGTGGGCATTGATCCTGAGTTTGAGTTGTAGTTCACCCACATCCAGAGAGCACTGTGGACTCAAGCAATGATGGATCTGGACCAAGCTTGGTACAAATACTCAATATTTCCAAATGTGAATGCTGGTGGAGTTTGGGGAAAACAGACTTTGATGTTTGGGAATTGTAGTTGCTAAGATTTATAGTTAACCTACAATGTAACTCAAGAAATCTATCTATCTATCTATCTATCATCTATCTATCTATCTATCTATCTATCTATCTATCTATCTATCTATCTATCTATCTCTGGAGTTACACTTGGGGGCTGCTTGTATACATAAAGTCACAGAGAGCATGGTAGATGATCCCAGCCATGTTTCTTGTACCCATTAAACATGATACCAGCACAAATGAATGAAACAGTGTATGGGATTCATCACATAAGGGTACAAATTAGAAAGGATTTTCAAAATAGTTCAACTACTCTATACATCTGATCTGAGCTAAACATGTTCTTTTGTAGAGAGCATGAGAGAAGTAGCTGGGTGAAAAGATCTTGGAGTTCCCCGCTGCCTGTATGCAATTCCCAGACAACATGACATTTCTTTGGTTTCTCTTTTAGTGGCCAGAAATAAGAGGAATTTGGTTTTTCTATTTTGAAAGACAGTAAGAGTTGTGACTGTAAGTTCCTCCCATGAGATGTTTCCAGCGGTATATGCAATTATAGTATGCAGTAACTGGTTTTTGCATAGTACTGGAGCACATCAATCTTAAACATGGAAATGCTTTTAGCCAAATGGATGACTCTTCGTGACTTGCCTCACTGAAAAGTCTACATGCAACTAAGTACTAAGCGATTGTCTATTTCCTTTTTCGCACTTTTTTGAGAATCCAAAATAACAGGATACTCTAGATCTTAGCATACAAAAAACGTTTGGACCTCCCATCTCTTGTTTTGCCTCAAACATTCACATTGAAAAAGATAGTATGCAACTCAGAAGGCTGTATGTTGCACCTTTGAACCATAACTAGACTATTTTTAAAAAATGACCTATTTTTCTTCTTATTTTTTTCCATACCAAATCTCAGAACAATTGATGCAAATCATCAGAAGATCCAATATACAGATTAAAATGCACGTGAACACACAGTTGTTCTGGAAAGACTGCTTAGAGTCAAATAATAGAAGAATCTGAAAGAACCTGTCTGTTGTGTAGTGTCTGGACTGCAAGAATTGGAAACTGTGAATCACTGTGTCCTTCCATTACCTAAAATCAGAGTTGTCAGGAAACACCTCAAGGAGAATGATAGGGCAGGAGGACCAACTCATTGAAGAGCTTCCTGAGTTGGACAAGAGATGAAGCTTTGTTTCAGTGTGTTTTGGGTAAGTTGTTGTGTATCTTCATGCTATTTCTGACTTAGGACAAATCTAAGATGAAACTGTCCTGGGTTTTACTTGGGAAGATTTATTCACAGGAATGCAATGTGTCCAAGGTTACCCGGTGGGTTTCCATGACTGAAACTTGAATCTCGAGAGTCATAGGGGGGCATGGTTAAAAACCACCAGTTACAGAAAATCTTGCTGACCAGAAGGTTGGCAGTTCAACCGACGGGTGGGGTGAGCTCCCGCCATCAGCTGTAGCATTCTGCTTACCTATCAGTTCAAAAACAGTAATGGGAGTAGATAAATAGGTACTGCTTTACAGGGAGGTGAAAGGCACCCCTGAACACATACTGGCAATTTGATCAGGAGGGACAAGAGGCTCCTCGGTGTGGAAAAAATGGAACAACAGCACCTCCCTATGACCGTGTTGAGCACAGCTTCCAGATGCCAGAAATGAAAAAGAGGGAAGCCTTGCCTCTGTCTATGTGCTGTCTGTCTTTGTTTGTAAATTGTATAATAGCATTGTATGTTTGCCATAAATGTATTCTGTAATCTGCTGAGTCCGCTTGGGGAGATAGTGGAAGATAAATAAAGATTATTATTATTATTATTATTATTATTAGCTACATACTGTAGATTTAATGCAATTTGATGCCACTTCAACTGCCATGGCTCAATAATATAGATTCATGGGAATTGTAGTTGGTGAGACACCAGCACTCTTTGGCAAAGAAGGCTGAAGACCTTGGAAAACTACAGTTCCCATGATTCCATAGCATTGAGCCAGGGCAGATAAAGCAGTGCCAACTGCATTGATTCTACAGTGTATATGACCCATAGTTCAATGTTCAAATCATGATACCATGCTGGCTCTTTTGATACGTATTTACCCAAATTCACCAACGTTTTCATGTTTAGGGTGGAAAGAAGATGAGATTACAACAGTTAAAGTGTTGTAATCTGATAGATCTGATTACCCAGGCTCAGGGCTTTTCAGTACTATATACTTTATCACACTAGAGAATGAATCCACTTTAAATCCGGTTTCTACCTCCTGCAGAATTCTGGGGTTTGTAGTTTAGTGATGCTGTTAAAGGCTCCTTCCTAAACTACAAATCCCAGAATTCTGCAGGAAGCTGCAACCGGATTTAAAGTGAATTCATTCTCTAGTGTGATGAGGCCCTATGGCCCTAATGTCTCGTGTGATCAGGCCCTAATCTGCTTTTGAATTCTTGCGTATCAACCATGTTAGTGCTGAATTAGAGATGCCAGTTCTTCTTATTCTTTTTTTATCACCTAAATGGCAGACAGGTATAACATGGCCCCTTCTGTTCTTGGAGTTGTCATGTCTTCTGAAGTTGGAGGGAATTTAATTACAGTTTGCTTTTGAAGATTTCCACTCCTCCCCGAATAGGAAATTTCTTCATGTTCAAACCAGAAGGAACTTGAGATTTCAAAATGGCAAATATGGGAGGATATGGAACTGCTAGCTTTGCCTTTCCATCTCTACTCTGGACTATGTTTCTTGGAATTTTCACTCTCTGACCAGCCCTGCTTTGTGCTGAATCAAATCTGGTTAATCATGGATGGGGAATTCCATCTCATACATATTTAGGCTGATTTTTTTTCTGTATCCCTGGAATGAAAAACTCAATAGTTGTGTAACTGGACCAGGGCCAGCTTTTAATTAATATTTAAAACGAGAATAAAGACAAAGATTCTCCCAGAGGAAAAGTGTTCTTACCATACATCAAGGGAACCACTGACTGCATAGGGAAACTGATGAAGAAACACAACTTACAAACTTTCTACAGGCCCACTAAGAAAATCCAACAAATGCTATGTTCAGCAAAGGACAAGAGGGATCCACACACCTCTGCAGGAGTCTACTGTATACCATGCAGCTCTGGACAAGTCTACATAGGGACCACCAAAAGCAGCAGCATTGCCCAAACACGAACCAAGGACCATGAAAGGCACTGCAGACTAAATCAACCTGAGAAGTCAGCTATAGCAGAGCACCTGATGAACCAATCAGGACACAGCATATTATTCGAAAATACATAAATGCTGGACCCCTCTAACACTACCATGTCAGACTACACAGGAAGCCACTGAAATACACAAGCATGTGGACAATTTCAATAGAAAGGAGGAAAGCATGAACATGAAGAAAATCTTGCTACCAGTATTTAAAAAACTCAAAAATCAGCATAATAAATAAAGAACACCCAGATCACCCCCAACAAAGGATCCCTCAGCAGGAAGCAACCAGGCTTTGAAACTGCAAGGCTATTCAATGCTAATCAAAGTTGTCAATTGTAACATTCATACTTGCCTCAAACAGACAAGAATTTTTTCTCCCACCCTGGACATTCCACAAATATAGAAACCTACCTGCCTACTTTTCCAACAGACCTCACAACCTCTGAGGATGTCTACCATATTTGTGGCTGAAACGTCAGGAGAGAATGCTTCTTGAACATGGCCATACAGCCTGGAAAACTCACAGCAACGCAGTGATTCCGGCACTGAAGGCCTTTGATAACACAATATTTAAAATGATGTTAAAAGTGTATGCATGTATGTTTTCCGGAGTCATGATTGAATCCCGTTTCAGCCTTGAAAACCCATTGGGTGGCCTTGGGCAAGGCACACACTCTCAGTCTCAGAAAACTCCATGGTAGGTTTACCTTTTAGGGTTGGTGTGTGTGAAGAATGACTTGAGAAACTGCAAGTTGCTTCTGGTGTGAGAGAATTGGTTATCTGCAAGGACATCGCCCAGGAGATTCCTGGATGTTTTGATGTTTTATCATCCTTGCGTGCGGATTCTCCATGTCCCCACATGGGAAGCTGGATTTGAACCTCCGACCTGTTGGTCAGTAGTCCTCCCCGCAAAAGGGTTTAACCCACGGCACTATATAGGCTCCATAAATTGGAAATAACTTGAAGGCACACAAACCAACAAAGTCTACCAGTGCCATAAGGTGGTGCTGTTCCTCCAGTCAAATCTTCTACTTGTATCTGAACTAGTATTGACCAGCATTCCATGAAGAAATGTATTAGCTTCACTGGATAGCTTTTTTGTTGTATGCATGAAGTATTTTTCACTCCTCATTCCTTTTTCCCCCAGGGTTATTGCGAAGCAATGATTTTCTATCATGCAACTTTTAGTCTCCTTGCCTCAGGCCCTTGTTCTTCCTGCCAAAATATCCACTATAAACAGATTTGAAAGCTGCAGAGAAACCATGAGAACGGTGTGCAACACAGCAAGAGTAGACAGTCTGCAGCATTTTGTAGTGAATCCTGAGATCAACTCATGCAATATTTATACGTGTTTGTTTGTGTGTGTATATATTAGAATTCATGTCAAGTCCCAACATTTAACCCAGATCACAGTCTTTCCATATCAACTGCAGCCGTACTTACTCCACGCTGGCTATCTTTCAGTGATGTAGTTAAGTTCAGAAGACAATAATTTTATTGTTGCTGTTGTCAAACAACAATCTACTATATCCTAGGGAGAGACCGACCACAGCTTCTGCCTACCCTGGCATAAGGAGATATAATTTAGAGGGGAAACTGGTGACACTCCTAATATGGACTATAGCGAGAGATTTCCAATTGTACACTGGGTACGTTGGGTCCCATCTTGTGTTGGGTTTGGAGAGCAAAATCAGAACACTCATTAAAAATGAGCCCTTTGAGCATATCTGAAGATTGGGGGAGGACGGCAGGACTGGTTTGCTCAGTTACATTTCCTTTAGAAAAAAAAGGACCACAGTAGATGCTGCTGATTCTGGACATCTATCGACAAATGGGCTACAGAATCAAAATACAAATGAACAATCTCAGAAACAGCAGAAATATACAATGCCAGAAAACCGCACTATTTACTTATTTATTTATTTATTTATTTATTTATTTATTTGTGGTATTTCTATCCTGCCTTTCTCAATTTTTCAAAGAGCCTGGTTTTTACTTTTTTTGGAAAGTCAGGAGGGAGAGGGCTGATCTAATATCCCTAGATATTAGAGGGAATGCCACAGCTGAGGGCCTACCACTGAGAAGGCCCTGTCTCTCGTCCCCGCCAGACGCACCCAGATGACCTTAAGTTCCTAGATGTTTCATAAGGGGATATATGTTTGGACAGGTAAGCTGGGCCGGAATTGTTTAGGGCTTTATAGACTAAAGCCAGCACTTTGAATTGTGCCTGGTAGCAAACAGGCAGCCAGTGGAGTTGGCACAACAGAGGGGTTGTGTGCTCCCTGAGTGCTGCTCCCGTTAGTAACCTGGGTTGCTGCCTGCTGGACCATTTGAAGCTTCCAAACAGTCTTCAAAGGCAACCCCACATAGAGTATATTGCAGTAGTCTATACAGGATGTAACCAGAGTGTGGACTACCATGGCCAAGTCAGACTTTTCAAGGTACGGGTGCAGCTGGCACACAAGTTTTAACCCCTGGTCACCGCTGAGACCTGGGGTTCCAGGCTCAATGATGAATTATCATTATCATTATCATTATTATCATTATAGAAGCTGTAATACCTTCCTCTCCTTCCCCTGCCTAACTGTTTTTTTTCCTGTTTTTTTTTAAATAGACTGGAAGAATGAGAATACTTCATTGTCTCTAAATGTGCATGTTTCACCATCATGGGAAACAAAAATACCAAAAGAGGCTCTTCTTTTTCTCAAAGGAACAGCATGGACAATTATACAAATACATGGCAAGAAGATTTGAGGAAAAAGCCAAAATTATGTGATCTGTCAATGGGCTCAGAAACCAATTGCCATATCAGTATCCAAGAACCTCACAACATTGACGAAGATGTTGGGGATATATTTTATAGGTTTGTGATTCTTCATGCTGACGGTGATGTAGAGGAAGCCGTTAGGGTCCAAGACATCCTACAAAATGAGTTTTATATTAAACCAGGGATAATCTTTGCTGAAATGCCTAGTGGGAAGCATCTTCTAGAAAATTTAAATGATGCGTTGAGCAGCTCTGCATGGACAATTATTCTGTTAACTGAAAACTTCTTAAATGAGCTTTGGTATGAATTTCAGTCATACACATCTTTGTTCGGTGCGTTGACCTTACCCAATAAACAAAACACAGTCATCCCAATGAGGCCGAGGAATAACCCACTCCCCTGGGAGAGGACGCCTTTCATTCTCCGGTCCATCAATGCTCTGCAGGAAGACAGCCCTGGATTTGCCAAACAAGTGAAGAAAATCTTCCAGGAAGCTAGATATAAGCAACAAAAGGCAACATGGGCATACAGAAAGAAGAATCAAGAGGCATCAGGACTGTTTGGCTGGTGAATATATGGAAATTGCTTTATTTGAGCAGAGAGGCTGCAATATTCTAGTTTCTCCCTGCTTTGTTCATCATATCCCAGATGCTCCAGACAGCTGCTCGGATGGGAATTTATTCTTCAGATGAATAATGCTGAGTGTTAACCTCCAAAAGGCCACTGTTCTCATATTGTCATCCCACCCTCCTTGTGTTAAGAGCTGATTCTTTGATATTCTGGTTCATGGTATACAGAAGGTCCCAGGTCAAATCCCTGGCATCTCCAGTTAAAGACACTTTGGATACAGGGCTGGAAAGCCTTTGAGGAAGTAGTGACAGGCAGAAGAGAATATACTGGGTGGTGCAGTGGGTTAAACTGCTGAGCTGCTGAATTTGTTGACTGAAAGGTCAGTGGTTTGAATCCGGGGAGTGGGGTGAGCTCCCACTATTAATCCCACTTTGTGCCAACCTGGCACTTCAAAAACATGCAAATGTGAATAGATCAATAGGTACCGCTTCTGCGGGAAGCTAATAGCACTCCATGCAATCATGTCAGCCACATGACCTTGGAGACGTCTACGGACAACGCCAGCTCTTCGGCTTAGAAATGGAGATGAACACTACCCCAGAGTAGGACAAAACTAGACTTAATGTCAAGTGTAAACCTTTACCTTTAGATCGACAAATAGCAGAGTACTGGGCTAGATGGAAAAAGTGGTCTGATTAATACAGTCTTTGTTATCCAGAAATCCAAAAACATCCAAAACCAGTCACCCAATTCCACCTTTGAGATGTCAGGGGTTGCAGCATCCAACATACAAAACATGTCTGTCTTGAGCATTTTGGATAAGGGAGGCTCAATGTGTACCATATAAGGCAACTTCCATAGGAAATAATGTTTTTTGTTTCTCCAGTTACAGAGAATTTGAAGAAGGGACAATTATTTGTAATGAACTCTCTCATCCTATATCCATATTTGGTAAACAGGTTTTGCAGGGTTTTGTGTTATGTTGCTTAAGCATACTCAAGAATGGGCTAAAAGAAAATGTGTCGTTGTGGATATTCAAATCCATGACACTGAATAGGATCCCCCTCTCTCTACTTTCCTAAAAGCAATTGTTGATGTCAGTCTCAATATGAAATTTGAGGCAATGTAGAGAAGAGACAAAATCTCAACATGTTGAAAAAAAAAGCATTGTATTCACATAAAAAAGCCCAATGGATTTTGGCCTAGAAATATTAATGGCCTTCAGGGAAGTACAACTTAAAAATCACCTGCAGGGAATTCAAAAAGAGTGTCTGACAGCTGCCTTGGACTATTTATAAGAAGAAAATTATCTATTCAACACCTTGAAGATTCATCTTTTCTGAACGTCTGTTTTATTGGTGCTACCAGTCCTTTTTGTCTTTTAGATATGAGATTTGCCAGGACCTTTGTCTTCCTAGAAGAGTTGGTAGCACATGTACTGGTCACCTTGAAGCTGGACTTTTGCAGTGCGCTGTAGGGTGGGCCACCTTTGTACCAAGTTTGGGTGGGCTACCTTTGTACCAACAAGTCCAAAATATGGATGCCAGATGAGTTACAGGTACACTCAGGAGTGAATATATCACACCTGTATTAAAATCATTCCACTCACTAACAGTTACAACCTGTTCAAACCTTTTTCTGGTGGCAGTTATAGGAGTCTGCAACTTCAGCCACGGAGCCTAATGGCTTCCATTACACCCCAGAGAACTGCTTCTGGGGCGGCCCTGTGACTGAGGTTGAAACTCCTGTTATTGAAAAAAGGTAAATGTGAAGAGGAAAACAATGGCAGGTTCTGCTGAAAAAAGGATTCCCCCCATGTGATGGGGTAGGAGGAAGCTGCAACAGAGCAGGGTATAGGGCGACAGGTCCTCATGCCCCCTGCGTGACTGCAGCCAAGGCACAGCGAGACCCTTTCATTCCAGCAGCATGTCTGACAAAATCCTTAGTTGCTAGCAAAGTATGAAGTCTTGGTTATTAACCATAAAGCCCTACACAGACTGTGTCCAGGTTATCTGCCTTCTCCCATACAATCCACCCATATAACTTGGGTCCTGTACAGACATTAATTTCAACCTGACAGCACTCAGCTGGCCATTGGCATCCAGAGGAATGGGCAGGTGGAAGAGATACATACTTTTATGTCTATTTAACTTTGTTTTAACTGGACAAATGTTCCATTTGATTATGTTCTTATTTTAATTGTGTTTTTGTTTGATGAATTGTTTATTGCCTTATGGACATTTGGTCCCATATAAGCCACCCCGAATCTGTTTGGGAAGATGGTGGTGGGGAATAAAAATAAAGTTGTTGTTATTGTTATTTAACAACTAAACACACTGTCAGGATTTTTAAAAAATAAGATAAAATAAAGACCTATCTTTTAAAGCAGGTTAATCCAGTTAGTTTTTAACTATGGATTTTAAACTGACATTTTATTGGTTTGCATTATTTTATTGTGTATTTTAATCTTATGTCTATCTGATTCAATCTTTATTTTTGTCTATTGCATTTTAATTATGTTGTGACCTGCCTTGAACTTTGGGGAGAGGTGGGTAAGATTAATATGTGTATAATATGTTTATTATAGCATTATTAATTATCTGTAGTCATCAGGTTACCTTGATCTTGCAGAGGTTTACAGAAGCAGAGGGCATTAGTTCTGCATTTGGCTTCAAACATCTGAGGCCCTTGCCATGGTACAAGAGGAGAACCAAAGTTTTCCTGTTAAAGATTCCTCTATCTTCAAACACAGTTGGAATTGTGATTCCCCCCCCCCCCCCCCATCATCTGTCCATCCCTTTGGCTGTTTGTTCAATGCCATCGTGGCTGAGATTGACCCTATCAAATTCCAGGGCTTTCCACTGGAACATCAATGTGTGTTGTTAAAAGAAACTGAGTGGAACTGTAAAGTTGGGACGATGAAGCTGTGCAGCCAAAGTGTTAACAAGTGGTGACTCATTTAATTAAAAGCACCTTGGCAGTGGTTTGCATTTTCTTTGGATTTTTAAAGGGTGTCTTAAAGCAGTTTTGATAACTACCACAGCCGTTTTATATGAAGGTTCTGTTTGACTAGAGTTTTCCTCTTTTGTTTGTACTTATAAATTGCAGATTGGCTGTATTTCAGAAGACTTGCAAGGTGTGCCTGCCACCCAAGTCAAATAACAATTCGCCTAGTGATGATAGTGACAACAGACTGCCTCATCCTCACCCAATGATGATGACTGCCTCTTTTTGACCCCTAAGGCATCAATAGCTGACAGTATACCAGTGTGGCAGCTGCTCTTTTCTTCTTCCACTCACTTCAGACCTTGTTGATGTTGCTCATGTTGTTAAATACTTTAATACTGCCAGAACTAAAGAAAAACCTTTTTGTCGTGATTGGTTGAATTCACTTCTGTCAAATAATAAAATAGGATTGGGTTGTTGTGAGTTTTCCGGGCTGTATGGCCATGTTCCAGAAGCATTCTCTCCTGACGTTTTGCCTGCATCCATGGCAGGCCTGCCATAGATGTAGGCAAAATGTCAGGAGAGAATGCTTCTGGAACATGGTCATACAGCCCGGAAAACTCACAACAACCGTGATTCCAGTCATGAAAGCCTTTGACAAAATATAGGATTGTTGTAGCATGAACATAAAATGGTAGATGTGTTTATCCATTATAATAGAGGGCATTGTTTCAACCCTGGTGTCAATATCTGAAACTGAAATGAAGAGTTTATATTTCTCCATTCTCACAGGTACGTTAGAAACAAATAGATATTAGCATTTTGGTTTTTTCCCCCAGCATATGTAAATATTAGGGCTACCAGCTTTAAATACTACAGCTTGGCTTAATTAATGAAGGTCAACTTTTAATTGAGGACACTACAAATTAATCACATATTTACCAGGTTGACATTATTTTGTTTCTCATTTGTTACTGCAGTGAATTGGAGAAAAGTTACTTATGGCCTTATCTAACCCTAAGTGCTAACTTCTCTTATTAAAATGTAAATATATTCCTCTAACATCCTTGCAAAAGCAGTGATGTGGAAGTTTTGATAATGTGTAAACTTATTCTTGCCTTTGTAAGGATGGTTTTTTGTGTTTAAACTTATTATGTACCTCCAATGTTGTGTTTTCGATTTATATTTTATTTTTTCTGGTATGTGTAAATTACCTTGGAAAATAATACCTATATGAATGGACAGCTTTGTTTTTTAACGAAATGAAATGTAAACAACTTAGCAGAATAATCTAAAGTTAATGCATTAAATAAATTTTAATTAGGTGGAAGACACCGGAACTGTCCCCTTCTTTCTTATATCTCCTAGTGTTGTGGTATGTTTTGCTTCTCACCCCTTTTATACATTACTTGAAATGAAGGTTTATCAAGAACAATCTTTGGGGTCCTCTCAGGAGTAGGAGGTGATATTGCTGAACCAAACAAGGACATTATTTCCTGGGATTTTTTTTCCTGGGAATTAGGCAGAAAAACTGGAAAGTGCAAATCCTTGTTAACATGCTACTGTTAAAGAGTTAGCAGCATCTGAAAGGGTGCAGTGGTGTTACTTGATTTCCCTATATACACATGCATATGTCTAGAAATGTTAGTCAAAAATAATCAAATAAAAAAATCTGGGTCAATTCATCCATGGGTCAGTGTAAGTACTGTACCTGAACTCTTATTTTAAAAAAGGGAGGGGAATCAGCACCTTCTATGGTCACTCTGCATTTTCTGTGGTCTTTCTTTGCTTTGACTCTCCAGATATGCCTCCAAAAATACTGATTTTTTCATGTCAGGAGTGACTTGAGAAACTGCAAGTCGCTTCTGGTGTGAGAGAATTGGTCATCTGCAAGGACGTTGGCCAGGGGATGCTCAGATATTTTACCATCCTGTGGGAGGCTACTCTCATGTCCCTGCATGAGAACCTGAAGCTGACAGAAGGGAGCTCACCCCACTCCCTGGATTTGAACCGCCAACCTTTCGGTCAGCAGTCCTGCCAGAAAAAGGGTTTAACCCATTGCACCACTGGAGGCACAACTGATGTTCTGGTCTCATTTTTCCTGTCACAGTGGTCTTTTTTCTGCAAACACACAACTGTCTGTCTTGCTACCCAACCGTTTGTTCCAATTTCTTTCCTTGATCACATGGCTCTTGGCCAACCAAACTCTAAGCTCTGTTTATATAGAGCAGAGCACTGCTCCAGTTCAGTTGCACTCTCTTCTCCTCTGAGATTTTGGCTGAAAACTGCAAATTAAAAGCAGGGTGAAGAAAGGAGGGCAGGGCTCCAGTAGTACTATAATAGCTGCACAGAGCAGGCGATTTCAACAGGTTTGACGTGTTATGCAAAAACAGCCCCTGCTGAAATTCGCTCTTCACAGCAACCTTGTTCTTTGCATCTTGTCACCCTGATCAAACAAATATGCATAAGAATTTGCTGACGTGACAAAATAGTTCGACATACATAACAATTTGAATGTCTGGATGACAGGCAAAGCTCACACCGTAATTTTCACTTGCAAATGAAATATTTGCCTAATAAAATCTGGCTGCGAATTTTTAAATCCAAATACACACTTGTTGGGTTCTAATGGTGAGTGGGATAACTGGGAGGGCAAAAATAATACACTGATAAGTATAATGAGATAATTTATTGAGCACTGCAAAGTGCCTGCTCCATATTTGAGGAGGCAGGTTTCAACCTACCTCCAGATGGACAGCTTTCTCTAACAGTGGGCTCTTGGCAAACTTTGCTTACAGTATTGG